GTGCCAGCAGTGTCACTTAGTGCCCCGTCAAAAACTGTCACTATCTGCCCCCGAGGTCGATAAATATAACAGGGGCTACAGAAATGATTCGAGAACTTCAAAAATTTTGCTATGCATATCAGAAGTACAAAAAATAAGTAAACATACTACCATAAACAACATTTTACTGTACATTTTTTATTAACATTGAAATTATTGCGTTCAACTGTCACACAAAACTCAATTTTATTCGATTTTGATGAACTTAAAACTTTAGAGTATAAGACACGACGTATATTCCACTATCGGGCTATCGTATTATCGGAAAATTATTTTGTACGTCTGAAACTGTTTTCTTTCGTATGTGGTTGACAACGGAATCGAATAAATAGCCCCACCCTCCCTTACGCTTGCCGAACGATAGAGTATAATTGGTTAACATATGCTGGATTTAGGCTGATATTTCATGTGTCGTACGACAAGGCTTTTCAAGCCTGTTATTGGATGTAAAACAGAGAGGTTCTCGGATCTCTCTGTCCTATAGCCAATCAACGTGCTTGAAAAGCCTTGTCGTACGACACATGAAATATCGGACTCAGAAATCATATACTGTGGAATAAACAGTATGTATTCCATAGTATATGATTTCTGATAGGTTGAAATTCTTATTCTCTGTTCTCTGTTCCCTTTATTCTGCGCAGCCTTTACAATGCGCCGTACGTGTCTGACGCCAACGATAATTCGCTGAAGGCGAAATCAGGCTTGCCAGATTGGGCGATTTATCGCAATTTGGGCGACTTCAGAGTCGAAATTGCGACTAAATTTTAAGCTTTTGCGACCATCGCAAATTGGGCGATTTCGAAAAAAAATTATGCGACCTTTGGGCGATTTTCAGTTTTCTAATAAAAATTGGTATTCGTGCGACTCTGCAACCAATCAGAAAAATCGTATCATCGATACGAAGCACAATTTTGTTTCCTGATTGCAGAGTCGTCGTACGACAAAAATCGGAGGCAGTGTGAATCCAGCAATATGCATACTCGCACGAATACCGGGGTGCATTCCGTATACCGGAGTGTTCATCCAGACGAAGTGTGATGTCACATACCGAGATTGGTACGTGAAACGGAACGATTCTGGGATGTTTTTGCGTTTGCACGTTATACATGCTTACATATTTAGGCTAGGTTCAGCTAGGTTTTGCTTCGCGTCTTAATCCTAAGATCCTAAAATTCAATAAAGCTGTTAGTTCTAACAAAAATTTGTATTTTTGCTGGATTTTAGAATTGTACGATTAATACCGAAGCATAAACCGGTTATATTTTACATAAATAGAGAAATGGAATACTTGCTTGTAACTGAACCGAACGGAAATGTCATCACAGATCAATCAGGAAATATATTGGTTCAATAAAAACCTGGTAAGTGCTTTTACTTGTCCGTCATGCAAACATATATTTTTGTAATCTAAATTATAGGTTATGTAAATATGTCTTTGTTTATTATTCATATACAAATTTTAGCTTATTTAAAATTTCGATATTGTGTTATTATTACAGGGAATATATTAATGTTCATTAGCTCTTCCAAAGCTGTTACATTATTTCCCAATGCTAAAATTCAAGCTGATGTCTCGAAATCAGACTCCATTTCGAGTTCTGAAAAAGAAAACACTATTGGTAGAACTTCTTGGAATCGAAATGAGATTTTAGAATTAATAGACTTATATAAGTCCTACAAACATTTATTTAAAAGCACGACAATGAAAAACGACAAAGTATGGGATATGTTAGCCAAAAAGTTACCGATGCACACAACTGAGCAAATAAAAAATAAATTTAAATATCTGAAACAAAAGTATATGGAAAAGAAAGATAATATGGGTCAAAAGAGCAGTGGAGCAGGTACGATTAAATTCGATTACTTCTTTGAAATGGATGAAATATTTGGTCAAGATCCTGATGTGCAGCCAGTGTCAACTGCGTCTTCTTCACAAGGGATTCATCATGCTTCCAAGATGCCATCAGTTGAAATTGAAGAAAATTCATCCAGTAACGATGAAAATATTGCAAAAAACAGAAATGAAAAGTTGAAAATAAGAAAAAAAAGTGAATTAGCAAAACAACTAAGTATATACGAACAAAATTTTAAAGAAAGAGAGGTTATGAAAGAAAAACGTCATAATGAATTAATGGCTCGACAAGATGCAGCTTTAAAAATTTTAGAAAATATTGCGAATTCATTTGCAAACTTACCAAGTACTAAAAAATAATCATTTTGATTCGGTTAATCTTATATTTTATTTTATTTCAAAAGATTGCTAATGATACTTTTTTTAAAGCAATTATGGATAATTAAAAGTATAAAATACTTTCCTTTCTGTATCAAATTATTTCTAATCAGTTTGTAATTCTGTTATCTCATAAGAGTCAAAGTCATACCAGTATTGTATTGCAAGCTAGATCACTATACAGTTTTAAAATTTCAAGTTTTTTTGTGATAGACTACTTTTAGACTGAAATGTATGTGATACTATTTGTAGACTGAAATGTACAAGTGTTTATTTCTATAAGTGTTACAAAATAAATTAATATATTTCATTTCTAATATATGTTAGTTAACATTCTAGTAGCTTCCCACTATGCAAATAAATATATCAAACACTTTTCAAAAACGTTACTAAGTAACTTGTAATATTGCAGAGATGTATACAGAAATATTTCTGACATGCTGCATAAATAATTAATGTCCGTATTCAGACACTTACTTGTGAGATATTACTAGAATATTTTTTGATATGTATCATAAATGTTTCTGAAAAATATCTACTGTACAAATAAAT